AGAATACTCACTGTATCATGAGTCTAGAATACTCACTGTATCATGAGAGATAAAATCCAGTGTGTCCTCTTCATGGCAGGTCACGCTGCCCAGTACAGGGCTGTGCCATCAGCTGGAAGGGCATCTTTCTTTAGTTTATATCAAGACACTGAGTTAGTCCCAGCCTTGTGTGCTTGAACCAGCTACTCTAATTGGCATCCCATTAGTATGTGAGAACTGTGTGTGTGGATCTTAAAGAGGAGCAGATGAACCCACCCACTTGTTGAGCAAGGTAACCTGGTGCAGAAAAACACCTCGTGATTGTACTGGGCAATGTGCTGTCTATGCAGCCTCTGTGGCCTCATCTCTCAAAGGAGATCACGGGGTACAGCCGTTACCTAACGTACACAGACTCCATCCTAAGCACCTCAGAAAAATAGGTTTGAAGAAAAATGGCAGTGTCTTTTGGATGCTCTGAACTGAGTTGTGGTTAGGGGGAGGGCGGCTGGCCTCTTAAAAGGGAGTCCAGCCTTCTGCCTAGTCTACAGGACGAGCAGAAGCCTATAGGTGAGCTGATTCCAGGATCTGGGTATCTGCCCACACTGTGTCCTCTATAGTGGAATTGAATGTCTAGACTCAGTATTTCTCTGAGGTGGAGAGATCGTAGCTCTTTAATAAACCCTACTTCTACCACTCTCCTAAAGAGAGGTTCAAGAGGTTCAACTTCTTGGGGTCTATTTTGATATGGTTTGGTGGTAGTGCTGGTAGAGGTAAAGTTTTAGTTTGTTCTCTTCTGTTTTGAGACAGGCTGACCAGGAACTCTCCATCCTCTTGTCTCTGTACCTTATTGCTGGGGTCACATGTCACCATGCCTGACGTGCAGAGGATTTTCAGGTCTCCCAATATTCATTTGTTCTTCATGAGCAAACGACAGGATGAGAATTGCTGTGAGAGTTGACTCCAGCGGGGTGCCAGGTACTAGGCTGAGGGCCAACCTTGCCACCATTAAGGGGGAGTTCCTAGCAGCCCCTCTTTTTTATGAGATAGGGTCTTATGTAGTCCAGCCTGGCCTCAGACTCACTCGCTAGCAGAGGGTGGCCTTGAACTTCTGATCCTCCTGTCTTTTCCAAGTGCTGGGTTCACAGGAGGCCTGTGCCATCATTCTTAGCTCATGTTGTGTTGGAGATCAAACCTCGGGCTTTGGGTATAGTAGGCAAGCATTCTATCAACTAAGTTACATGTTCAGCCCCCACCCTTTATAGGCTAGGGAACTGATTAGAGGGTAATGACCTGATTTACACAAGACCAGAGCCCTGAGGAGGACCTCTCTGTAGGGGCCCTCCCCTCCCCCACCAGCAGTGGCATAAATGGATAGAAGGCTGTGACCTCATGGTTTGTTTATCACAGACCCTCTAGAAGACCAAGATGCTGGAGATCTCTGGGTTCCGGAGGAGTCAGGAAGTTTTGAGGATGCCCAAGTGGAACACAGCACCTCCAGGTACAGTAGTGGTCCCTCCTCAGACCCCTGGCACTGACCGCAGATGGAGGTCCCAGGGCAAACAGATCATCAAAGGCCCAGATATAGTCTTGTCTAAGTACCCCTTCCACCCACTAGCATATGATGTTTTGGGGCTAGAAATTGAGAAATTGGAGCTCTTTGTAGCAACTCACAAAACTATATTCAGGGACCCCCACAGGCCCCTAAAATTCAGCAATAAAATCTTAGAACTTTAGCTTAAAACTAAAGCCCTGCTTCTTTGGGAGAACCAGAATCTATTCTGGATGGTCCATTCCAATGCACAAATATAGAAGGGTTGTGTCGAACAACCCCTGAGCACCATGCACGTGCAGCCCACAGCATTCAAGAGGAAAGAGCTCATCGGGGAAACAGGATGTGTTTCCTGCACTTAGTAGACCCTAAAATTGACAGCAGATTCCCCTGAGCCACATGAAGCCCCCTCCCCAGGCCCCTAGGAATTCCTGGCTCCTCTCCATTTCTCCCTCATAGGCAGGTTTCACCCTGTGGGTCACCTCTAGCCTACCATCTTCCTCCTCTTTCCAAGGAGCCAATCAGGAGAGACTTCCTTCCCACCCACTTCCGTTCTTCTCCTCCTGGCCTGTATCCTCCTGAGCAAGCTCCTTACAGCCAGCATCCTCTGGGCTGTAGCCAGGAGCAAGCAGAAGCAAGAGACACCTGTGGTCAGTGGGCTGGACTGTGGCCAAGATGCTGGGCACCAACTTCAGATCCTCACTGGTGAGTGGAACTTAGCCAGGGGGGTGTTGGGCATGGACAGGGGATGGGTGGGAACCTGGAGTAGTATCTGTTGCAGGACCCAGAGATACGTGAGAGAATTCCAAGTGGGAGGAGAATGACAGCTTGTCTAGCCGGGGGCCAATCCAGCCTGCATACTCTTCCTCTGCCACCAAGACTTCTGTTTCTGCTTCTTTGCTTCAGAGGCCACCTCTGCCTAAAGCCCGCCTATCCCAGGAGCAGGAATACTGGTGTGCACATCTTTGTTGAGTGAGGAAAACAGCTGGATGGATGGTTGTCTGTCAACTTCTATGCTTTGGACATTAAACACTCTCACACACTAACTCAGGACTGCCTGCTCTTTATAGATGGTTCTGTGCGGGTCCACGTTCTACCCCAATGATGGGGTGTTGGGCACAGCTGCTGGAGAGGAGAAATGCAGGGAGTGCTTGACTGCATCTTCCTGTACTACTGCCGTCAGGTGTTGGGCTTTAGGGAAGTGCTGAGACACCACTCAGGGAGTGGGAAAATGCAGTCTAAGATGTAGCAGGACAATGTTGGGGTTTCCTGACTCCTGGGAATCCAGTCGCAGCTGGGGTGCCACACAGAGGAGTGGGGAATGAAGGATCAGGGTGCATGGGCCCTTGATGAAGCTGGCACCATTAGCTTAGCAGCAGTTGTCTGGAAGCACAGAGAGTCCTTCTGTGGGAGATTTAGGCAGTGGCTCTGTAGTCAAAGTCCTTCTCCATGCTCCCCATGGTGGTTCTCAATGAAAGAGACAGTTCATGTTTATTACCATTTATAGACTGTTCATTGTGGAAAATGGGTGCATACCAACTCTTCATGGTGAATCAGAGATTAAATACCATTTGCAGGAAGGAATGTCTGGGAAGGGAAGCTTACTGGCTAAACCCTCGGGGCCTCTAGGTATTTCATTAGCACGGAGACCTCCATGAGGAATGTGGACACATGTTCCAGGCCATGAATCTAGCAGGCAGCAGGGAGGCACCCAAGTGCCTGGGTCTCGGACCTGTTCTACCTTACTAAGTTTCCTGGCATGGTCTACTGTCCCACAGTTCTGTGCCTCATAAAGGTCTTCTTCCTCAGTGCTGGTATTAAACTCATGGTTTTGTGCATGCTAGGCATGAGCTTACCGATAAGCTAATTCCCAGGGTAAGGTTATACGTCTGGATGGGGAAAAGGGGAAAAAGGTAATAAACAATCTTAGTTTCATTTCTGTTGCTGTAATAAAACATTCTGTGATAAAATAGTGACAAAAAACAATTTAGGTGAGAAAAGGTTTATTTGGTAGTCAGAGGACAGATAAGAGTGTTCTTGAGCTTCTATTGACCTAAGACAGAGGCAAACATTAGTGCTGCTATGTTTGTCTTCCTTGGCGGGTAAGAAGGAGCAATATAAACACCTACCTAAGGCAGACTCAGTTGCCTGAACACGCTACCCTAGATGGAATTATGGAAAACAAGTAAATCTTGTGACCCCGTCCAGCTACTGATACTGCTCATCTTTAAAAAACTAAAGAGGGGAAATTGTACCCTTCCCAGCCTTGAGCAGGCTGAATAAGACGTTATTTGCCACAGTGGACCTTAACAACCCGGATGGAGTCATCTTCCCTGGCTGTGACATAATCCAGCCAAAACAAAGGATGGGTTCTGTGGGCTTTCCCTTTATATACGAAGTGCTGAACATTAAACTTGGAGGCTTGATCAGAAACTCTGTCTTGGCTCCATGTTTTTCTCTCGCCCCTCCATCTCCTTTTCATTTCTAGCCCTCCTTTCAGGAGAACTCAGTTTGTCCATGGCCGCTGGGCGGCTAGAAAAAGTAACCATTTTGGGTGTCATGTCTTCCATCTCATGGGCTCCAATCTTTCCATCTTCCCTTCCCTTCCCTGCATTTGATCACCAAGTCCTTGTGTGGGATAGCTGGTCATCTTCCTACTCCTCCCTTTGTAGGACTGTGTTTGTCAGCTACCCTTGGGCAACAGTTTCCCCCTCCCAGCTCCTGGCTCCGTCCTCTTGTCCCTACCTCTGTCACTCCGGGACATCAAAGCCACTGACTTGTCCTTTCACCTCCCAAAGCTGTGCTTCTATCTGCAACTTCCCCTCTGGAGAAACAACAAAGACTGAGTCAACAGTCTCTGAGTTAGGAACAGATAGTTCACAGCCCTAGAGGTACTGAGAGGAAATGGAGGCTCAGAGAAGGAGGGACCTTAGTCCTCATCTCTAGTGAAGCCTGGAGATCAAGTTTCCCTTCGCATTCATGGCACCCCTTTCTCCGGCTCCATCCTGCTAGTGTGTTTGTGGATAAGTGCATTTCTACATGTTGTTTTGAGCTTGATCTGAGCCCCAGAGATACAGCACAGACACTGCTCTTGGAGCTCTTGTTCTAGGGAGAGGAGCTGGCAGGTAGTAATAAACACAGTAATGAGAGTTATGCCCAAAGGCAAAACGTGTTGAGGGAAATTTAAAAACAAGGATGTGTGCAAAGGGTATGAGATTTGCCATTTTGAGCAGGACAGTCAAAGGGGATACGTGAAAGAAGTTAGCAAATACATGAGGGAATTGTGATCAAAAAGAATCTGAGGCAAAGGGGACAGTCAGGCCTGTGTGGGTCTCTTTAACCCTGTTCCTGTTCATTCCTGTTGCTGTGATAAAACACCTTGGCCAAAAGCAACATAGGGAGGAAAGGGGTTGTTTTGCTTATAATTCCAAGTTACAGTCCATTAGTTTGGGGGAAATTGAGACAAACTCAGGTAACTAGATACATCATGTCTTCAGTTGACAGTGGAGAGAAGCAAATGCATCCATTCTACCTGCTTGCTTGTGCCCATACTTAGTGAGGTTTCATCCCTCATGCAGCTCCAGGTCCAGTCCAGGAAACAACAGTGTCCTAATTCAGCCTGGGTCTTCCCACTTTTGTTAACAGTCAAGACAATCCCCCCAGACATGCCTATCTGACTCAGGCTGGGTCTTCCCATCTCTGCTGTCAAGACAATCCCCCGCAGACATGCCTATCTGACTCAGGCTGGGTCTTCCCATCTCTGCTGTCA